AACTAGAACTATCCATTTTTGTCTCCGATCCAGCTATCAAAATTAACCGTACTCCAAGCTCGTATCCTTTTACCTCGCCAAAAAATTTCCCATGTAAAGACCTGACTTTTTTTAATTTCTGAACGCCCCTCCTAGCCTAGCAATGTGAAGGTGACAATCCTACTCCTATTTTGATTCGTCCCATTTTCGCCTCTGTTTGACATACTCCAGATCTGTCTTCACAGCATTCTACTAAAGCTCGTAACTAGTTCCACAACACTAACCCAAGAATAAAGAAAGCAATCCAAGCCCCGTTTCGTCTCAACCTACTAGCTGCCTGCTCAGAAGACCACAGAGGCGATTTGACTCGTCTCAGTATACATGGCTCCCGAACGTGGAGGAGTGGATTTTGGAGACAAAAGAGAACCTTGTATAGGATGCCATCGAGATATGGGAGCGAGAGATCCTGCGTGCGATAGTAACATGCTGTGAAGTGGAAGAATTGTTGGTACATGGCTCCAAGAAGCTTATACCAAAGTAGGGATAAGTATTTGAAAAAGAAACTGACAAAGGAAATGAGATAAAACGAGTGCAATTCATGTGTTTAAACGATCTTGGATATGTTGTTCTATTCAGTGACCTGCAAGCATTGTTCCACAAACTTTGTAAATAAGTAAAGTTTAACGAGTGTGTTGAAAGTTTAGTGTGTGTATGAAGTTGGAAATTGTTTCAGAGAGACAGTATCCTATCACAAGCCGTTAGTGGATCTTATTTGTAAACCAATGCTGGACTACATACATGTTAGAACATACCAATGACTTGATGCCCTTTGCTCGGCTTGTATGAGATTCTCCAGAGCGATAGCATTGTAGACTGTTGTTCGGCCTCACGCTGGCGTAGCTGTGACTTAGTTTTTGAAATCCGAGATCGTATTGATCGTTGAGAGTAGATGATAAACATGAATAACTTAAGATACTGAGATAATTGAACGAACAAAAGACTAATCACAGTCCACCGTCACCGAAACAGGCAGGATCTATTCCCGCGTGATTCTCGATTGTCACATGTTCATCGTCGTAGATATGAGCTCACACTGGAATACTCATTTCTTAGATGTTGGTTTCAAGAAAGATGTGACGTTTGAGCTTGATGGTGTGAGGAAAAGTTGGCAGGTTCCAGCTTTCAAATACACGTAGCAATAGATAGAGAAGACCTCTGAAGAACCATTGTCGGCCGCTAGAATGGCAATCGACCCGGCTATGCAGAATGAAATTTTCATATTTCTCATGTAAAATTCTAGGCCCCCTTCATTTCTGAGAATTAAGCTAATTTACTGCTCAGTCTGCGAAGTTTCAACAATCTTGATCCTTGGGAATGGTCAGAAATGAGGTGCAAAATTGGTCATTGTGGTTCAAATCCTTCCATATCAACTTTCTTATCGTTTGAAACACCAACAGTCAATTAGTTAGAGCTGTAGACACTAGAGGCTTGCCTGCGATAACCTCATCGCCGACCCATTGACTCAAAACAAGACCGACACTTCAGCCTTATGTCGAACTTTTTACCTTGAGAGCGCACTTGGCCTCTTTGGGTTAGGCCATAGTCGAACGCCACTATTGTTGGCAGCCACACTTGTACAACCTAACCAACAAATGTAAACAAGCAAACGTATACCAGGTGTCAAAGCAAACGCGAACGCAGTTTCCTGTGAAGGACAAACATATGAATGTTAACAAGGATTTGAATTGAGTTTCAAATCGGGGGGAGCTTTTTCCCCAAACAGAATTCGTTGCAGAAGGTTCAAAAGATCCAATTAGCTCTCAAAATAGATCTTCGAGATTCTGTCCATATCTTGGACCAGAAGACGAGAGATATGTATGGAGCACAGAATCATTCCTACCTGTAGACCGTACGACAAAATGAGGACCCAAGATAGAGGGAGAGGAAGTCTGGTTGGATGCTTACAAGAGCCTCATATCGACCCTGAGCATGACCCAAAAATCAAAATTGCACAGGCGCGTGCGATAATGACTTTGCGCACTGTTAGCAGCTACTCGAGTACTAGATTGATTACGTTATCGGTTAATGTCAGTCTGATGAACGACCAAAAACATCACGACCCTTGACTTGAGCGCTTGCCGTTTGTAGGCCGCGGTTATTGTGTGCCGTCCTTTACTAACAATTCTTTTCACTGAAGAATTGGCCTAGTAGGTTAGTTGGTGGTTTACAGTGCCTGTTTCAATTCATAAAGTTTCTTGGGTGTACCTAGATCCAGTGATCTATCGGTCAATATGGTCAAAAACTGAAGGCACAGCAATTGCACAGCATGGACATTCAAGTCCGACCAGAGGTGGAGCAATGGATACTATGGTTTGCCAACAGCCGTATATAGTGAGCGAGGTCTTCTAGTCCTCAAGCCATAAGCCAGGTTATCTATCTGCTGAAGTTGAAATCTAGCAGTGTAGAATTTCCCATCTGACAGATTTTTCTTTCGTCATTCTTTTTTGTATTTTTTATTAAAAATAGTCACTCATTTGCACCGTCGCCACTACTCAGTGGTATTATCCTAATCTCACACCTCCAAAATGTCCGGCCGTGGAGCATGGAGACCCATGAGTAAGTTTTTCAGAAGTCCTTGTAAAACGAAGATTGACTTTAGTTCTCGCAGACCCAAAGAACATTACTGTTCGAGCTTCAGTATGGATTATTGGAGCCATCCCATTTTTTACATTCTCGGGTAAGCCCACACACCCTCCTTGCTTCTTGCTCGATGTATCAATACGTATACCTGAGCTAATGTCTTGATGTTTAGCCATGTCGATTGCCGGATCTGCGACAACAACGCCAGGAATGCAGAACGTCTTCATCGGACAAATCTCCAAGGTAGGCAGTGATGGATCTAAAATCGGTGGACTGAGATTTGGTTACATGGGTGTGTGAAGATATTTCTCCTGTTTCTACGAATCTTCGTTAACAAGCTATTTAGGTATTTGTGCTTATGTGGGGGTGGAAGGAAGCAATGGAGATACGTTCAAGAACACGAACGGTTTCCAATGCATAGGCAAGCAGTATAGTCAGTCACCCGACGAGATTGCTGCAACACTTCATGTCGATTCAAATATCATACAGTTAGGACAAAAGTTACAGAACGACATATCTATTTTCATGCCTATGGTCTCACTTTCTCTGTTTCTCTTAGGATTCCTTGTTGACACTGGTGCATGGCTCCTTGCAGGTCTGGGAAAACCTGTTGGTAAAGTCGGCATGGTAGCCATGCCATTTCTGTGGGCATCTGTTGCTACCAGTCTTGGCGCAGCATACACGCTTACTGTCTCCATCAATGCAATCAATACGGTACTTGGAGATACAGCTGTAGGATGTTCTGCAAACGTACAGATTGAACAAGGGAAAACGCTCGAGGGACTTCAGTGGGCTGCATTTGCCTTTGCTCTTCTCTTTTCATTCGGTATCTATATGGTCACTAGAGACACTATGTATGGTTTCAACATTGCTCCTCGTGCTAGATCTCGTGGAAGAAGAATGAACGATGCGTACCCCGATGAGTATTCCGAGGAGGAGCGATCGTTGAGTTACGAGAGATAATTATAGCTGGCAGGTTGATGCACCGACAATTATGTAATTCAAACTTGGATATTACTGGTGTAATACGAAACCGCATGTCGGAAGGGGGGCACAGAAGCGTGATGTGGTGTTTACGAGATGTATAAATATTTCTGTTTAGGTAGGTGTTTTCACTTTATGTTTTTCTATTTCTGCTAGTCAGCTAGAACAATATAATTTAATTTGTTTTATTTCTTGGTTTTTGAAAAAAAAAAAAATCTCCGACTTCGAATAATTCATTATTTCATACTCCCCGGTCATTTTTTCGTACACGACTCAATTTGCACATTCATAGTTTGAATGACCATTTTTCATATTCAAATGCAATAAACAACTGATACTTCACGGTGGGTGCAAGTGATTGGCGGGCGCCTCTAAAGTATCAAGATAGGGTAGTCAAAATAGGTGTACGCAGGCCACAAAGTGAATGCTGGTTCATGGTATGCTTGGCCCTCGAAAATAGCTCTGGTTGATTTGATCATTGACAGTTCGTAACACAAATTGTGCTAGGATTTCGACGGTATAATGTTCCAGAGAGATTGGAACATTGATAAGTCACTATTGTTCAGATTGCTTCGAAATACCATCAAATCTTTGATGAGTTATTATTCAATGGAAAAAGAACATTGGTATGCAATAATTGTTCATATAAAAGAAAACACTCATCAGTCATTGTTCAAACTAGATTGGCAGATTGAAGAATCATTATTACGCGGGAAACGTAACACTAATGATCCAGAATTCATATTACAATTCAACACTGCATCTTTACTTGTTCCAACTCTGAGCAGGTGTAACACTTGATCTCACGTGTAGCATGACTCCTTTCTTCCACCTTTCTGCCAGATTTATGACTCCCTCTTGGCTTATTTCCTCGCAAAGTTGTGTTCAAACCCACAAAGCTGTTTAGATACCTATTATTTCCTCAGAGAAGATCCCAGCCATCAAATTCAGACTCTTAAGAAAAACACCATACTCGACAATAGCCACAATGTGCTTCACCTATCAAGTCGACTACGATTGCACAAATGAACGCAAAGAGAAACACAGTCTCTTCGTACATCGTCGCTGCGAACTCGGAAGCATCGAAAAATGCCCTATCAAGGTGAAGATCATTGAACTCAACCGTCTGTTTTGTGAGGAGTGTCTCGAAAGGGGGTTTGCCACCACAAAACGCCCTCCGTACAAGATTCCCGGTACACGTGCAAAGTATTTAGTCGAGGCGTTAGATAAGAGGGTTCAAAATGGAGAGGCTGTACTGAGAAACGACTACCTCAAGCGTCAGGCTTCATTTTTCAGTAGCTGCTCCATCGCGGGAGATCTTTACGCAATTTCCGGATATCATTCGCCCTTCCACATCCAGGAACTCCTGCGCCGAAGACTCAACAACCAGGATATCGACGCAATCGAAAGACTCGCCATAGAAATGCAGCGTGTTCACGTGGGTGGTTTCGCGAACGGACGTCCTTATATATACCCTGTAGCGGCAATGTTACACAAAGCCCTTCTAGGAAGCATCATTGCCCGCGCTGAATCCAACGGTATTATTCAATCATGCTGTAAGCATGGAACACACGAGCCACTGGATACCGGAAACCAAGGAGTGAATGTTGTCGTTCGTTTTGGTCTTGCCAATACTCACAACAACGAGAGAGAATGCGGTACTTGCAAGGATCATCCGAGTGCCGGTGGTCGGCCGTGTTCAGAATGCAGATGCAGTTTGAAGAGATATGTAAAGTACAAGGGAAAAATTGGCAGTTTGGTTTTTGTAGACTCAGACATTACGCCCTGGGAACTTCGAGTTATAAAGGATATGTACAGAGAGTTCTATTTCGAGAATGGCAAGCCTGAGGGTTCTAAGAAATAAAGGTTATGGTTCTCAGTGTACTGAATTCTGGTGTGGTTCAAGCTTCTGTCACACACATACTATTTCATAGTGCTTTAAAATAAATAATTGCATGGTTTTCAAATATATACCTGAATAGCAGCTTTGAAAATGTGTGATTTTTGATTCACTATAGTTGACGCAAACATTTGCCAGGTGAGGAGTATTTAAATAGTGCGTAAACCTGATGCTAGTTAAGAATCACAGTCGTTAGCTTTCAAAAGCTTTACTCTCATTGTAAATATTCATAAGTCAATATAACTCTAGCACAAGAATATCATACACATCATACATACACCTCAACGCTAGTCTAGCGTGTGCAGTGACCCTCGAGGCTTTCAATCACATGATAAAAAAGTATCCTCTAGGAAAATCTAGTCGGCGACTGTCCCAGAGCGATGATTCCCCCAGGTTGAAGCGCTCTAGTATATTTATGAACTGCGGCCTGATATATGAGTTTTAATAATGATGAGATTTCCCATATAATTCTTTCCTTAAAACATATTCTCTTTATATGTAAGTAAGTAAAATCAATGAGCTTTTCCAAATAATTCCTAAGTAGTATAGAAATAATTTAAATGATTCAAAGTCATTAATTACTACTTATATTACTAGCTCCGCTAATAAACGAAGTGCGATATAGATAAAATTACTATTTATTATATGTATAATAAATAGACCTTTAGTATATATATATACATGTACTTACTTACTTTTACTTATAATTCTTTTAAAAAAAAGAACTAGAAAAAGAATGGATACATATATTCGAGAATGTTATGCCTAAGCCCCTGCCTAGTGAATGACATAGATAGTCACATGATAAATCCCTACATAGGCATTGATCTTGTAGGAAGACCTTTCTTCCTTAGCATAGTTCTTTTATCTAATTATTGATCTTTGAAGCCATTCCCATATTGCTCCTTGTGAAGCGTGTGACACAGAAAATCCTATTCTATCCATCTACGTATATACACAATGATGTTAGTATCGTATCGACTCCGAAGAAAATAAAACCCCTCAAAAAACGACAACATTCTCCACTCCCCCCAAAACCAAAAACCGAAAACCAAAACTTGATCAAAGAAAACTCCAAAAGATTCATCTCTCAGGCGTGAGTCGAACACGCGACATCCAGATAGACAATGTTACAATTACAGTCTGACGTCATAAACCAACTAGACGACCGAGAGTTATTAATCGAGTTGGAGCTCGAAATGGTCACATTTTGTTGTGTTTGTTGAGTTTTGCACTCAGTTTTGAAAATATATATCACACAAGAAAAATGGAGATGGAATGGGGATTTTTGAGCAAGGATTTGGCTAGGGTGGGTATGATATGTGGGGTTTATTTTAGGAGGGGGATGTATAGTTCAGAATCGAAGTGATGGTATATTTTACGAAATTCTTTTGGTGTTTTGTTATGAAGACAAAGCTTTCGATAATCTACTTATCTATTTCTATTTACCTTCATTCTTGGAATTTTGAAGAGTATGGTATTTTCAAGGCATCATCACGATAATCAAAGCACAATTTTTAGACCGAGGATCAGAATTGCCACAATGAATTATGAGTATCTTTGTAAATCCCCTACTCAACCAACGCCTTAGACCTTTCTAAGATCCCTTCCCTCCACCATCCGAATTCTCGCAGAAAATCCGTTTATTCTTCAAAGAACTCCCTTCAAGTTTACCAGAAAGCCGCCACCCCGCCAGTCCCTCATTTACTTTAACATCTTCTCATCTTTGCCACCCATTTGAAAGGGCCACTTCCACTCCCGAATATGAACTGGATCAATTCCATTCTCGAATGCCTCTCTCCTCGCCTCAATCTGCATATTTAGAAGTTTCTCCCTAACATGCGCGCCCTTGTTGCCCAATCTCTCAATCCTATCAACTGCATGC